TGCTCACTCCCCACCACCCCCCTTCCGCTTCCCTGTCCCCCTCCCTCCGGTCGAGACCCCCAGACCCTCCCTCCCTGCAGGGTACCCTACCTCTCCACCTCGAGTCTCCCTCCCTCCGCCCCGGCCCCCATCCCGGCCCGGGCCCCATCTTCCCCACCTCGGCCGCACCCTTCCTGGCAGCCCCTCCCCGGAGCCCTCTCTAGCTCGCCTCGCCAGCCTGAGAGAGGGGCCCGACCCTGCACCCCCTCTGGCCCCGGAGGCTCCTGAACGCGGGGCGAGGGGAGAGGACGAGGTTTGGAGAGAGAATGCGGTGGGGGGGTCGGGGTAGGGGAACGTAGAGCGGCGCAGTCCAGCACCCCATCCCCTTCCCACAGGCCTGATCACCTGCCACCCTTCCCCGAACCGCCTCACCCTCTCAGCCGCGTCTCTACAGGCTCCTGACCTCTCTCTTGTATCCTGGCCCACCTCCTCCCTGTCCCCTGCTGGCTAAATATACACACACCTTTCTTCTCTCCAAGCTAGGAGAGGGGCCCGGAACTGGGGTGCTGACGAGGCAGGCGGGGGTGCCGGTGGCTGAGAGAGGGGAGTCGCAGAGCTGGGCAGAGGGAGGCAGGGACCTCCGCTGGGATTAAAAATCCCAGAGCTGAAGGGTTGGAAGGCACGTCCACTTCTCTCCCCCAACCCCAGGCCCCAGCGCCCCTGGCATCCCCCCACCCTCCCTCTCTGCCTGCTCACAGGAGCAACAGTAACCACTTTAGGCTCCTATGAAGTATCTGAGGGTTGTGAGAGGAAAAAAGGCCAACGCTGGGGGTCCCTGGAACGTCGGGGGATGCAAGCTCTGGAGGGTGAGTTTTCCCAAAAGGCCCCTCCCCCATTTCCTTTCCTTCCATCTTCCTCCTGACCCTCAGTGCTCCCAGCCAGGACACAGCCCTTCCCTCAGTTTGTCAGCCCCCTCCTCCCTTGTCTGAGCGCCACCCTTCTCTGGTGCTCAGGCTTTGAGGGAAGGCCAGGCCGCATCCCTCTGGGGCCCCAATCTGCATCTAACTAGGTTGTGTGTCCCAGGGGAGCTGCCAGACAGAGAAAGAGACTTTGTTGGACAGAACTTTAAAGCAGCCTTTCAGCAGGGGGCTGTTCTCACCGTCAGATCCAGATCTCAAAGCATCCCTTATTTTAAAAAAGCAGGGAAGTGGGCATGTACACCGTCTTCCTGGTGCCACCGCTCACTTCTGATGAAGCTTGTGGCTTTGCTTCTCTCTGGTCTTACTGCCTGAAAGAGAGGGCCTAGCAGGGGGGCAGGAGAGAAGGCCAGCCTCCCACAACCCGTCTCCCCACTGCCAGCCCATGCCCCTGGAAGGATGCTGGTCTGTTTTCCAGGACTTCTGTGAAGTGTCGCCAGGACCCTGTGCGCATTAAGTGTGGGCAACCCTGCTCCTCCCGTGGGCGACAGACGATACGGGGGCCCCAGATGAACCTCATATGGCTGATATTGGAGAAAATAAGACCAGAGAGTCAGAATTTTAAAACAAAGCAAGCAATTGCCATCCAGACAGGATTTTGCTGTTTAGAGGAACTACATTGCAGTAAGGAGGGGGTGCTCACCAGCCAGAGGTGGGGACAGGCACACCCCAGTTTCTGAACGCATTAAAGGATGGACTTTCTTTTATACTCAAGTACAGCCTAAGACTTCCCCTGAGAACTGCCTTGTGGTCAGCAGGAGGAGAGGCCTCGTAACTCTGGTAGTGGGGAAGAGACCTCATGCCACCTAGCAGGGAAAAGTAAGGTGGACCTTGTAGAACACTTCAAAAAGGCTATTTGATAATATACCTTTGCAAGGGCCCCAGTGTTTGTCCCCTAAAACATTTAGAATCATTTTGTTCGATGTTTTCTTTCTCTACCTCCTGACATGCAATGCTTTTTTACTATATATATTTTAAAAAAAAAAAAAAAGGGTTGCCATCAAGTCAGCTCTGACTCATAGCAGCCCCAGGTGTGTCAGGGTAGAACTGTGCTTCATAGGGTTTTCAATGGCTGATTTTTCAGAAGTAGAGTGCCAGGCCTTTATTCCCAGGTACCTCTGGGTGGATTCCAACCACCAACCTTTCAGTTAGCAGCTGGGTACGTTAATCGTTTGTACAACCCAGGGACTTCTTTCTTACTATGGAACGGCTAATTTCTCACAAGCCACCTGGTTAATTTTTTAACTTTCTACAAACCTCTAAACTAACCCTAGCCCCATTTGGCCTGAAGATGTATCCAGTGTCTGAATTCTTTCTTAACTACCTGCCCCACTACCCAGGGGCCAGGACTAGAAGAACCAGGTATCCCTGTGCAAGCTTCATATGGCTAAGCCAGCACCAGGCTGCTCCATTTGCCCAAAGGCAATATTAGGGGACCACCAAGTGCAATATTGGTCCAGAGGGCCTGCGAGGGGAGGGGCTGCCTCCAAACTTGACCCTCACACCTGAGTACTCACCGTGAGTGCAGGTCCTGCCCAGGGGCTCCTTTGGGGACACCAGGTGGCACTATTATACCATCTCTGTCTTGGCATAGTGAGTTTCAGGGCCCTCAAAGGACTGTGCAAGGAAGTTGTCTCTGACCTCCTTGGTGGGATGGGTGTCTCTCCTAGGGGAGGTGTTACTTCCAGCTCTCTATGAGGAAGAAGAGGAGGAGGAAGAGGTGGAAGAGGAGGTGGAAGAAGAAGAAGAACAAGTGCAGAAAGGTGGCAGCATGGGCTCCCTGTCAGTCAGCAAGCACCGGGGCCTGAGCCTCACGGAGACGGAGCTTGAGGAGCTGAGGGCTCAGGTGCTGCAGCTGGTGGCAGAGCTGGAGGAGACAAGGGAACTGGCGGGGCAGCACGAGGACGACTCCCTGGAGCTGCAGGGTGAGCGCCTGTGACGGGCCGCCGGCCTGGGCCTGAAGCTTTGCTCCCGTGGCTGGCCGGCCTGACTCACCTCTCTCTCCCCGCAGGGCTCCTGGAGGATGAGCGGCTGGCCAGTGCGCAGCAGGCAGAGGTGTTCACCAAGCAGATCCAGCAGCTCCAAGGTAACTCCCAGGACTAGGGCTGAAGGAAGGAGCCCTGGTGGTGCAAGAGTTAGGCACTCAGCTGCTAACCGAAAGGTTGGCAGTTCAAAACCACCCAGCTAGTCTGTGGGAGAATGAGCTGGTTATCTGCTTCCATAAAGATTACAGTCAGGAAAAAACCCTGTGGGGCAGTTCTACCTTGTCACATGTGGTCACTAGGAGTCAAAATTGACTCGAGGACATCCAGCGACACAGGGCTGGAGGGGAGGTGGCCAGCCAAGTACTTTTTTTCCGAGGGTTTGACTGAAGTGTGGCCGACAAAACTGACCTAATTCAGTACTTCCAGCTCATTTTTCTCTACTCGTCTAGCCCTTTTCTCTTCCTCTCCTTGTCTCTCCATTCTCCTCTTCACCTAATTTCCTTTCTTCTTTGCATCTCTGGCTGACTCTCCTGTCCTCCCCTTCCCTTTCTTGCCCTCCCTCTCACCTCTTCTCCTGGTGAGCCCTCTCCTTTTTCTCTCCTTGAGCCTCCTCCTCCCTCTGCTCCCACACCCCTTTTCCTTTGTTCTCCTGGTCAGTACCAGGGGTGGGTACCATCAGGGTTGGATTTCAGGCCAGATTCCTTTTCCTGTCCCTCCAAGAGCATCATGGGAAAGGGCAGTGAGCCAATGAGAAGTGATTGGAGGGGACTGTGTATCTTTTAAGGGGAGCAGTTGAGACTGCTTCTCTTGCTCCCCAGAACCTGAGCTTGTGGCCCAGAATCCCTTCCTTCCAACGCCCACGTCCCTTTGTCTCTGGGAAGCAGCAAAGCAGGCGTCCCACATTCTACCGCACCACCAAATACAGAGGCAGCTTTTGTTACTTCTGTGGGCTTCCGGAAGGTTTTGGGGAGCTGCCCTAGAAAACAGCAGGGACACTCCTGAGAGAATGAGATCAAGCCAAAAGAAAAATGTAAATGGAGAAAAAAGGATGGCCAGGAAGCAGGCCTGGAGAGGAGCAAGCAAAGTATAGGAGGGGGAGGAGAAGAGGAGAAAGAAGATATAAGCAAAGGTAGATACAGGAAAAGTGGGCAGTGAAACAGAGGGAAGAGAGATGAATCTCATAGGGAGAAAGCGTGTGGGCACTGGCCTCAGATCACCTAGATTTTTGGGCCCAGCTCTGCCACTGACAAGCTTTGTGATCCTGGACCAGTCACTTTTATCTTTCTGAGACGCAGTTTCTTATCTGGGGCTTCTCAGTGGAGCTAATTCATTTGTTTATCAACCATTTATTGAATGCTTATGTGCTTAGAGAATCAGCTATGTACAAGACAGACCAGATCCCTGCCTGAAGAGTACATTCTAATGGGAAGAGGCAGAAAATAAACCAGTAAACAATACCAGCTCAGATGGCACTAAATGACAGGAAAACAGTGTAATATGATATAGAGAGATGGTATGAGATGGGAATTTATTGGCAAGGAACAAGTTTGGGGGCTAGGGGAGTAGTTTAAGAATTGTTATCTAATTGTTGAGTTTGAAGTGGCTATCAGGAGGCAGTTGACAATAAGAATCTAGAATCAGAGGAGAAATCAGGACTGGGGATAACAAATTTGGTCTTCATCAGCATAGAGATGGTATCAGAATCCATGGGAGATCACTAAGAGATCACATGGAGAGATACAGAAAGAGGAGACACAGGGGTCCAGCCCCAGGGACACTCCAGTATACAAGGTCCAGTGTGGAAAGAGAACCAAACAGAAGAGACGGAAGTAGGAGGAACTCCTGAAGCATTTCATGCCCTGGAAGCCAAAATCAAAGTGCTTCAAGGAGATAATGACAATGTTTTAAAGAGAAGCAGAGAAATAGGGTGGTAGGAAATAGGGTCAAGGGGGGGCTTTTTTTTTTTTTTTTTAAGATGAGCAACACTAGATCATGTTTGTATGATGAAAAGATCCAGTAGAACAGAAAAGGGCAATATCCTTTGACTGGAGAAGGGACATTCCTTTCAAATAGGAGGGAAGTCAGAGAGTCAAAGTGGAGATGCAAGTAGGCAACTACCTGGGAACATAAAGTTCTAGAGCGATTCCGTCCTCAGTAGGGTGGTTTCTTGGATGAGCTCTAATCCAGGTCAGCGGCGGAGGACCGGGTGAAGGTGTCCCAACTCCGGTCTCGCCGGAGGAAACTGAGGCTATCCTCGCGCACGCGCGTTGCCCGTTTCCGCCGAGAGGGGGCGCGCGCTCATCCAGAGGCAGTGGTGTTGAGAGGCCGTTCCGGCCGCCACAGCCCCTCTGGGGCCGGGACCGGCCTGTCGGCGGGAGGCCCCCCAAGGAGACCGCTTGTGGGGGGCCAACAAGATGGAGGCTATAACCAGTAAGTGATAACTTAATCTGCTCTGTAGCCCGACTCCCGGGCCGTTGGCCCGGTTTTGACAGTCCCATCCCCACAGTCAACGGGCAGCGCTTCGAAGTCGGGTCAGGCTCTTCCGACCTCCTGCCAGGGTCTGCCCCTTCCAGCTTCCAGATAAGCCCCTCCGCTTGGTTTCCAAGACCCGTCGCCCCTCGTCCAGGGCAGACCCCACCCCTGGTCCTAATGAAGAGCTTTACCAGCACGAGCAAGACCCTATCTCCAGTCTTGCTCCTTCCTCCAGACCCCAGTGGAGATTTGAACCCTAAGGTCAAGTGCGTGTTAGGGAAGTGGAAGCTCATCTGCTCCCCACAGAAAGCCCACCCCAGGCTCTGGACCTTTATCCTAATGACCAGTTGACTTGTGCGCATCCCCCCCAGAGTAAGCGCCAAGAGAAAGACACCTGTGTTGTTCACTGCTCTGTGCCCAGCAGTGGGGAAACGCCCGGGACTTTCAAATAGGAAGGAAGTCTGAGAATCCAAGTCGAGAGGCTTGGGCATGGCACCGAGCTGACGATCAATATATACTGTTGAATAGACCAAGGGGAGGAGGCAGCTAGGAATATTCTAGAACACGAAGGATGGGCGACAGATGTGCCTGGAACTGCACATGTGAACTGGAGAGAGTAGGGCAGGAGGCCTTCCCTGAAGCCCCCTGTCCACTCAGCACTATGTGTCAGCAATATGTCCAAAATTTTCTTCTCAAAAGTTTATGCCCTATTCTAATTTTTAGAAAATACTCAAGCATGTAATTCTGTACACATAGTCGATATTCAGTAAAAGTCTGCTGTGTGGATGAACCCCAACCTCATTTATGCATAAATACAGCAGATGGTTACTGAGCTGCATTATGCCTGAATTTGATATTGGTGTCAGTGCTTTTATTCTCTCTATGCCTGCACTGTTAGGTTCTCCTGATCCCAGATGGGTACCTGTGTCCAGAAACCCTGAGGTGCTCCTCAGGTACAGAGAGTTCTAAGCTCTGACACGTTTCTTTTGTAACTTAAAAATAATTTTTTTTTATTATGAAACATAGGCATATTGTGAAAATTCAAACAAGACAGATATATATGATGTGGAAGTAAAAGCCCCTGTCACATGCTGTCTTGCTTCTCAGAAGCAACCACTCTTTATGGTTTGGAGCATGGATTTTTCCAGACCTTTTTCTATGTCTTTGTATATTTATGTGTATGTATAATACATAATTTTTTGTGTGTAAAAAAGGAGACAATATCCTATTTTTTACAGCTTATCCTTCTTTCTTGTTAATATATCGTGGAAAACTTTCCACAACTTCTCTATAGATCCACGGTTTCTTTTAAATGACTGCATTCTATTTAAAACCAAAACCCCGTTGCTGTCGAGTCATTTCCGACTCATAACAACCCTGTAGGGACAGAGTAGAACTGCTCCATAGGGTTTCCAAGGCTGTAATCTTTTTGGAAGCAGATTACCACATCTTTCTCCTGTAGAGCGGCTGGTGAGTTCCAACTACTGACCTTTTGGTTTGCAGCCAAGCACTTAACCACTGTACCACGAGGGGCCTATTTGGCCATCATTGATTTAAATAATCCCGTATTGATGGACATTTAGGTTATTTTGCCGTGTTTGGTTAACATGCAATGAATCTACATTTGAATTTCAGCTGTGAACTCTAATACACACTGTGGCCAGTACTCACCACAGGCAGATCATGGGAGCTCTGAGGCTCTGTAATTTCTGAGCTCCCAGGCTGAATATGTGAGAATAGCCTGTATAAGTTTTTTTTGATCTGGGAATTTTTGGAAAGATTCAGGGCTTCATCAGTAAAATACTGTAAAATTAGGTTTGGTCTTTAACTGTCAAATGATTGCCTTGTTTATACTTTTGGTTTGCAGTAGCTAAGCCCCAAAACCTCCTTTTCTAATGCACTGTACTACATAGATTCACTCTTTGTTCCCTTCTTTGAGGGTCCCTTTATTCCATAACAGATGAAGCTATACCTCCCTAAAGGAGTGGAGACTAGGTTGTCAGAGGTTTCCAGAGAAGAAATAAGTCTGCCTTTAACTGTGTGCTTCTAGGATGTGGCAGATTAGTTCACTTAACTTCTTGACCATATCGACCTCGACTTTGCAGGTGAGCTGCGGTCTCTCCGGGAGGAGATTTCCCTGTTGGAGCGTGAGAAAGAAATTGAACTTAAAGAAATAGAACAGGAGTTGCATTTGGCCCAAACTGAGATCCGGACCCTGCGGCAAGCAGCAGAGGATTCTGCGACTGAGCATGAGAGTGACATAGCATCCCTGCAGGAGGATCTGTTACGGATGCAGACAGAGCTTGATGACATGGAGCGCATCCGGGGCGAGTACGAGCTGGAGCTCTCCTCCCTTCGTGCAGAAATTGAAATGAAGAACTCTGACCTGTCCAGTAGCCTAACTGTCTCCGATATCTCCGACATGCAAGGTACGAGAGCAGCCCTTCTCCTGGTCTGCCAGTCAGTAAAGTCAGGCAGAGGAGAGGGGGTAATATATAAGAAGATGGTAGAAAGTGGTCTTAGATCCTCAATTGGGAAGCTCTAGAAAAAACCTCCAGGTTGAATTCAGGATTATAAGGGAGCAAAACTTAACCAGATGTCACATAGTGGTTTGAAAAGAACACGTGGAGATGTACCCTGGGAATTCCTCCTCAGAGGGCTGTTTGTTGATTTGACTATGAGAACACCCTTCCTGGGAAAGTTTTCAGTTCTAGGATGAGAGTAGAGGGGCCTGTAGCCTTGGGAAACTTCCTGCTGGTCTGGCACCATGGTGCTTTGCCTGGACTGCCTTATGGTGGGCCTCCAGTCCTTTGTCTCAGGTCCCAGGATGCTGATACTGAGGCTCCTTTAGCCCTCCCCAAAGTAGAAGCTTCAGGTGGCAACAAATGAGAGCACAAGCCAGCTGGAGAGGAAGAGAGGTTATTTCTAGTAATACATGAGGCACTCAAAAGGTTAGAGCTCTGCTTTCAGACAGTGAGTCTCCCAGCTAGTTGCTAGGACTCATGATGTCAGAGAGCTTGCCTTTATTCTGAGGCTAGATTTATGATCTGGGTATAATGGAGGCCCTATTTAGGCCAGGCCAAGCAGAGGCCATCCACAAGGAATCAAAGAACTGCAAATTTTCTCATCTGTATCAAGCCTGTGGACTGGTGATGCTAACAGAGGCAGGCTAGCACAGTGGAAAGGCTTCAGCTGGAGTTAAAGAGACCCAAGTTCAGAATGCCAGCTCCACTAATTAGTGGGATGAACTTAGTCTGGTTGTTATCTCTCTCTCAGCCTTAGTTTCTCTATCTGAGAATATAGAATTAGATTTGGTCTTCAACTGTCAAGTGACTCCTTAGAATCACTGCAGATTACAGAAAACCTTGGAGCTGGGTGGGATTCTGGAGCAGGAAGAGGACATAAGGGAAAATGGAGTGAGATCCAAATAAAGTGTGGAGTTGAGTTGAGTCGATAGTAAAGTACCAAGGTTGATTCCTTGGTTGGGACTCACGCATCAGGGGAATGTTAACAGTAGGGGAACCTGGGTGAGAATGCTCCCAGGGAACTCTGCCTTTTCTGTAAATATAAAACTATTCTGAAATTTAAAGTTTATTTTAAAAAACCTTATAGGGCTATTTGGGGGATTAAATGAAATACCTACCGTGCTGAAAGCACTCACACACTGGCTGAATCCGAGGCTGAACCCACTAAGTCTAATGCTTAGCACATGTTGGTTTTCATTAAAGATTAGTTTCCTTCCTTCCTTCTATGGTAATCTGCAGTACTCCAAGGAATTCTGATCAGAATGAAGAGGGCCCATTAGAAGTAACTTTCAGGGTGTTGAATCTTATGGCAGGTAAGATAGATTCTAACTAAAGTGTCCTAGTGAAAGCAAGTTAATGTTCCCTAAATATCTGTAGAATTAGTGTTCTAAGAATAATAATTCTTAATCATGAAGAAACAAAACAGATTCGGATATTTGTATTATCGCAGCAGTAGAAAATATTGATGACTGGTACTTAGGGACATGTGCTGGGCATTTCAACCAGATCTCTTTTCTAAGGCTTGAGGGTGATATGTGGGCCTGGTTGGGGTCAGTTTTTCTGTTCGCAGGTGAAAGACCATTGGAAAGAGTTCCTGACCCTCTCCAGGTCAATGTATCCAGTCTGGTGGTAATGGAATACCAGAATGCCTGGGTTCTCTCTGAAAGGCTTGGACTGGCAGTGTAACATCTGGCAGTTCACATCTCTCAGCGTTTTGTAATAAGAGCGTCATAGGAAAGCCATCAGGAACAGTTTGATGGGACCTTTACACGGCATAAACCAAAAGCTTAATTAAACCGTCCAAAGCCCCTCGGTTGGGGCTTTGAAAATTAGCACACAGGGAAGATCTTCTGGGAGGATGAGAAGAAGGGCAGCTACCTTCTCACAAGGAGAAGGACCCATTACAGTGTGGAATTTTCTGGGCCCTGCCTCCTAAGCTTCTGAATGTGATATCCCTTCTCTGTCTTTAGATAAAGAGAAGCTGTACTGCCTTCTGCTCTCAGATTTCTAGGTGGGGAAGTTGGGGGCTGGTCATCAGTGCTCTCCTCCCCAGGATCTCACCTCCTCTGCTTATCCTCTGCAGAAGAACTGGAGCAACTGCGGGAACGCTGCCGCTACCTGAACGAGGAGTACCAGGCCTTGCAGGAGAGCAACAGCAGCCTCACAGAGCAGCTTGCCCATCTGGAGAGTGAGAGGTACAGCCGGGAGGCCGGTGGGGCCCTCTAGGACTCTGCCTTAGGCAGATGGCAGGGTAGCAAGCATCCTTCTCCTCCTGGAGAGCCAGTCCTTTTCATGGTACCCAAAGGAGACAGATGAGCCTAGAATCAGGTATGGAGGGGCCAACCCATTGTCTTAGGACTGGAGTTGAGTAAGTTCTAAAATGTAGTTTTCTTCCATTCCAGGCACTGGGGTCTGGTTGCTCTGCCCTAGAGTGTATTAAAGGAGCCCTGGTGGTGCAGTGGTTAACCGCTTGCCTGCTAACTGAAAGCTCGGTGGTTCGAACCCACCAGTCGCTCCACAGGAGAAAGATGTGGCAGTCTGCTTCCATAAACACTACAGTCTTGGAAACCCTACGTGGCAGTTCTACCCTGTCTATAGGATCACTATGAGTCAGAATCAACTCGACAGCAGCAGGTTTTTTGGTTAGAGTATATCAGAAGTGATTCCTTCATTGTCCACACAGACTTGATTCAGTCTAACAGCAGAATGCCTCCATGTTGGAGCTGGCTTGCCTCCAGACCCAGCCTTGCGCCCAACTGGACTGGCAGTCTTAGGGTCTCCCAGCACCAAACTTGCCTTTGCAGACTGAGATGCTGGGGACTTTTTCTGTAATCTCTTAAACATGTTTATTTGAGAGGTGATTCCCAGTTGATGGCCCCTATCTTTTGCCTAAAATGAAGCCACCAGGACCAAGCAGCTTGGCTGGTGATGCCAGGCAAAGCTCCCTGCCAACATGGCTCTGGGGTTCTGGATTACAGAACACGAAGAGCAACTGAAAGGTGGCTGGAGTCCCAAACGCTAAGGAGTATGACATCGACAGAATCTCAGACTTCAGAAATGGATTTCCTAGAGCCTAATCCTGAGACCCAGTTGTTGCGACAGCAGCTGCTGGGAGCAGAGGAGCAGATGCATGACATGAAGAGCAAGGTAGAGCACGGGGTGGGGAAAGCAGGCACCTTTCACTGTCTCTCTCTTACCTACTCCTGGACTGCAATCAAAACACCTCCCCAGGCCCAGGGCTGCCACAGGAGGTGTGCACTGTGGCAGGAGATAGTACTCTGGGGGGTTGCTTGCTTGCCTGAGGTAAATAGTCCCGTAAAAAGAATGCCATCCCTTCCCTACGCCTGCTCTTGGCGTGCATCTGGTACCTGCAGTAAGTCAGCCTCCCCTTCTCTTCCCTACACAGTGTAAGGAATTGTGTTGTGAGTTGCAAGAGCTACAGCATCAGCGTCAGGCCAGCGAGGAGGAGCAGAGGCGGCTGCAGAGGGAACTCAAGTGTGCGCAGAATGAGGTGCTTCAGTTCCAGATGTGTTACAGTGTCACCCAGGTAAACACTGACGGGGGGGCCCTTGGGAAGAACAGTAGGGCCTACTAGCATCGCTGCTTCGGGGTGTGGGAATGAGCGCAGAGAATAAGGCTGTGCACAGCTGACTCTTCCCTCTAACCAGGGCCTAGTCTACTGGAGACCAATTTGAGAAGTCGTATAGCATTGTGTTCTAGAAATGGCCATCCTTATTGAGTGAGCATCTGTCTCAGAGAAGAAACCAAAGCAATAAGCCTGCAGGGGTTCCTCAAGCTATGTGCATCTGGGCAGGAACCAGAATGATCTGGAGAGGGCTGTGCTGTTTCCTGAGAGTAACTGCTCTGCCTACGTCCTCCCCACCACAGAACGAGGAGCTGAAGACCAAGCTCTGTGCCCTGCAGGAGAAGTACGATGCTAGCCAGAATGAGCAGAATGAGCTCCTGAAGGTGCAGCTCCAGCTTCAGAGTGAGCTCCGACAGCTCAAAGTCACGAAACCCACAGTCATAGAAAGCCATAATGATAAGGTAATGGCAACCAGACGTGAGGGGACAGCTTAGGTGCTAAGAGCACCTGTCTGAGGTTTCGGGGAAGGTGGGTAAGAGTAGAGAGTTAAAATAACCCCAGCTGCTACCTTTGCAGTACCTCAGGTAAAGACCTTTGACCACCCTTCGACCATCTACATTAGATAAGAAGACAAGCAGTAAGCGAAGGGCAGGGAGAAGTCAATTCTTAGACTGTCAATGAGTGTGGCTCAGGCAAGAGAGTGGGTCAAGGATCTCAGAGGCACTGCCCAAGCTCCCCCCACCATAGGAGTTGCTGTGCCGGCTCCAGAGGCTTCAGCACCAGTACCAGAACATCATGTGTGACAAGGAGAAGCTTCTGGAAGTGCAGCAGCAACTGCAGGAGGACCTGCGGTGCCATGAGGCAGAGGTGCAACGCCTCAAGGACATCGAGGCCTCCTTCGAGGAGAGCAGTGAGAAGGTAAAAGGAGCTTCAGGTGAGGGAGAGCATAGCAAGGCAGAGTCTCCTGTGGGGGTAACAGTGCACTGGAGGAGTAGGGACGGCAGGAGTTGTGTGGAGAAGCTGTTGGTGAGTGGGAGAGGGAGGTGCTTGGTAGAAGGGTGATCTTGGGGTCACGATGCTCTCAACTTCCTTTGATTTTGAATCAGAATCAGCCTCTAAAAAGGAAGCCTCTTCCCTTCCCCACCTCCCAAAAGAAAGAAGCCCCAGAAGGTCTGCATTTAGATCCTGTTAAGGACTGGTCCATCTTGGGTATCCCCCATGGGGATGAAATTGGGGCTGGGAGGTACAGGGGCAGATCTCAGTCCCTGCCTGAGCGGAAAGAGTGCAGCAGCAGGGGACTCGTGGGGTGATGGCAGCACCCTGCCTCCCTGCCCCAGAACGAAGAGATGCACGCCCAGCTTCAGGAGATGAAGAAGCTGTACCAGGCCAGCAAGGATGAGCAGGAGCAGCAGAAGCACATGTACGATAAGCTCGAGCAGGACTTCTCGCTCTGCCAGATGGAGCTGAAGCAGCTTAAGAACACTCAGAGCTTTCCAGAGGACAAGGGGAAATGTGCCACTAAGGTAATTGTCGCCCAGAGAGGTAAGAGGTCCTGGGCACTTCGTTGGGAGTAAGGGTTTAAAGAGGCCAAATATGAAGTCATCCAACCAATGGGCTTGATGGGCTTTCTGTCCAGTCACAGCTGAGTGTGGCAAGGCTGAAACAGAGACAGAGCTGTATGCTGTTAACCTTAAGTAGATGAACACTTTGCCTTGGCCTTGACTTTGAGCGAGAGCCATGGCATAGTGGGATCACTACATCTTGATCACAGTCTGAACACCTGAAGGTGTTTATACATGGTCTCCATGTGTGTAGGCATTTGTATGGTGATATTAGAACTATAGTGGTATCTAGTGATTTGTGGAAAGGAACATACACATAGGTCCATATACACCTAGTGTTGTTAGAACTAGAGAGGTCCAGTTTCCTGAGGTGGTTTGTAAGTGCTTTTGTAAGGAGGTATGGTCTTGTGCGTGGAGCACCGTTTGTATATTAGAAGGACCTAGGTTCTTCCATGGATTTATTCTGTGACTTCAGAGTAGTTAAATTCTCTAAGCTTGAATTAGAGCTTGGCTGCTAACCAAAAGCTCAGCAGTTCAAATCCACCAGCCACTCCTTGGAAACCCTATGGGGCAGTTCTACTCTGTCCTGTGGGGTCGCTATGAGTCGGAATTGACTCAACAGCAATGGGTTTGGTTTGGTTTTTTAAATTGAACAGAATACTACTCTTATCTCACTCCCTTTTGGTAACAAATCCTGGTTGTGATAAATAAGGCCTTACTTATTTTCTCCTTTTCTATCGGGTGTAAAATGCAAGCCATTATCAGCTACCTTGTGTTGAGCACTTTGAGCTCCCAGTCACTGAAAGGAAATGGAAAGGTCTTGAAGCATGTTGAAGAAAAACCACAACATTCTCCAAAGATGTTGGAGATGGTCACATTCTGTCAGAATACTCAGCAGCTCTTGCCACAGCCAACAGCAGGCTGTGTCCCTTCAGAAGACACAGGTTTGGGAAGGTTATTTGGGCTGCCTCAATGGTCTGCCTGCTTTTTTCTTGGCCCAGGCTCACATTTCCCCCTCCCTCACTCCCACTCAATTTTGGGGCCCAAGGGCCATGACCTGAACAACACCTCTTGTCCTGGGGGAAGAGACCATGGGAAAGGAGAAGCATGCTGCCCTTCAGAGCTAGCATTTTCTCTGATCATCAGACAGCACTGAAATCAGCTGGATACTAGATTTAGGTTTCTGGAGCCTTGGGGTGATTTAGTCTTCTCAACTCAATTCAGTAATAGCTCATAAATTTCTGAAGATTTAAGAAATGATTATGAAAACAAAAACAGGGAAAAGTTAGGGTGAATTTAAATCCTTATTGGTAAGGAGCCTAGTTAGGTCTGAAAACAAGTGGGCATATGAGAGTAACAGCTACAACTCCCAGCAGGGTGGGAAAGTGGTCACCCAGAGAAAGGGCCAGTGGGGAAACAAGAAGGGAGGGCCATGGATACTGTTCTCTCTTAACTGCTCTCAGAAGGAAATAGTAGAAGAAATTTAGAGCACAGTTAGCCAGCAGCCTGAAAGAGCACCTGCTGGGGTTCCCTGTTGAGCATCTGGGCCTGGTCTGTAGGGGTGCAGAATGGCTTGGGGTGATCAGTCCAAGGTGACTATAGGAAAGGAGACCCCGGTGACTCACATGAGGCATGAGAGTGCAGAAGTGCCGTGTTAGCCACACAGTACAGAGGAATATCAGGAAGCATCCCGTACAGAGTAACCGCATCCTCCGCGCCCCGCCCCCACCCACAGTGTGATGAGCTGCTGTCCAGACTGACAGAATTGCAGGAAAAGTACAAGGCCAGCCAGAAGGAGATGGGGCAGCTGCAGATGGAGCAGTGCGAGCTCCTGGAGGACCAGAGGAGGATGCAGGAGGAGCAGGGCCAGCTGCAGGAAGAGCTGCACAGGCTCACCTTCCCGCTCCCGAAATCTGGTCTCGTCCATAAGGTAACCGCGGCCAGGGACTGGCTGTGAGCTGTGGAGAAGTGCTTGGAGAAGTTTCCCAGGTGTGACTCTGCCTGGGAAGAATTAAAGGGGAGGGAGTGAATGTTTTCGTTTCCTAACCAGCCGCTCCTTACTTTCTCACCAGCTCCCCAAACCAAAAAGCAGAGTTATAGCTGATTAGGTTCTTCTCATAAGGGCTTTAAATCTTAAAATACATTTTATACTTGGGAATCAGCATAGCATTTTATATTTCTCCATCTGGAGGAAATGTATTTAAAAGCATTTTGTAAATTGCAAATTACATTCAAACATAATAGGTTATCACTGCTCAATTAGCAGGCCTCCATAGAAAGACTGCCTCATCCCGAGATGGGCTGTGCAAAGCCAGCACAGAGATTCTGAAGGGAACAGCCCCCAGAAGGGATGAGGCACAGGAAGAGCGTAGGCCTTCCCATGCAACCACCACAACCCCTTCCTCCTTCCTTCCACTCTGCCTCACAGAGTCAGGAGCTGCTTACGAAGTTGCAAGACCTATGTGAATTGCAGCTGCTGTGCCAGGGCATACAGGATGAACAGAAAAAACTGATAGAGAACCAAGGAGCTTTACTGAAAGAACAAGTAGAGCTGCACGAAGAGCTGCGATTTTGCAGAGAGTCTCACTTCCAGGAGGTGTTGGAGAAGCCCAAGAATTCCAAATTGTCTAAGTCCTCAAAATGCAATCATAGCAAGGTAACCACAGCACGAGGCAGTGTCTAGGCAGGGAGGCAGCAGCATCGCAGGGAAGGGGGACTCCACATGAGGGTCAGAGTTAGGAAGGCCTGTTTGGCCAGAGGTAAGGGTGAGGCTAAACCCCTGCTCTTCACTTATCATGACCACTCCCAGGCTCCATGGAGACGTGGCTTCAGGTGCAGCCTGGGGACCTCACCTGGATGTCGGCCCGATTGATACACTGTGAACACTCAGAAAAGAACTAGGATGACCCAGAAGTCTGCAGTCTGGTCATTTGACTTAGTCCCTTTGACATATCATTTTTGAGATATATAATATCAATTTAGTGTTTGTTTGGGTTCCTTTGGACTGACAGTAAACGTGGCATCTTTCTCTTATGAGCTGAAAAGTACACTTCTCAATTATCAAAATCTCTAGCCTTTTGGTCTACTTCTGAGGCAAATCGGGGGTCATTCATCTCGAAGGAAAGAAGTCCTAGTGTATGACGTTCTTAGAACTGACCACACTGTCTTCATTGGAACTTTGGAGGCAATAACAGAGTCAGTTCAGGGGAGTTAGACAGGGAATTGGTGTGTCTTAAACACCAGCAAGGGGTCAGAACTGTGAGGTCACATGGACAGAGATTTCCGTGCAAGTCTTTTTGGGGCTGGGGGTGAATCTGGTCTGAGGTCTTAGAGTAGGTAAGGAAGAGCAGGTAGACAGTTTCAGCCTAGGCTGAACCTAATCATTCTGATATTAACCTGGACTGGGAGAACCAGGGAATAGCAGAAGCCCAAACTGAGAGACTTGGTTGTATTCCAGGGGTGTCAGATATCCAGGCTGAAAGCTTGGGTAACACAGAGGCTGGGAACCAGGTATAAAATATTTCCTTAACTGATCAGATCTCATCCTGGGTATCAGCAGCCAAGAAGGCAGGCCCAGGGGGCCTGGGAAAGTGTCCGGCGGCCGGATTCAGAATTGGGGCAGGAGGTATAGGGACGAGTAGTAAGACCTCGATTCCAAGTCCACATCCTCTGAGGAAGAAATTCTTTGTATACTTACATTCAAGGCCAGGGCTGATTTTAGGGGAGGGAGACTGAGCTAAAGTTCAGGATAACTGGCACACCTGACTGAGAAGAGGGTAGAGTGGGGAACCAGGGTGTTCTTGAGACCACTCAGCACTGCTCAAGGAGAGAGGAGTGTGCCAGGGCGCAGAAATGGGAGCCCAAAAATCCTGGAGTCTCTGCCCTGGGGAGATTGTCCCAAATGAGCAAGAAGCCGACACCTGCCAGTTACCTGTAGGCTATGGTGAAACTGAAGTGTAGGTGTGGGGTTCTAGAATGTTCCCTCAGACATCTGCCCCATAAGGGGTGCAGCTAGGACTGCAGTGGCTGAGAGTAACGATAATGTCTCCCACCCGTCCCCCGGCAGTCCAAGGAGCTCATCGACAAGATACAGGGCCTGCAGATCCTGTACCAGGCCGGTGAGGCTGAGCAGGAGCTGCTGCAGCAGGAGCAAGGGCGGCTCTTGGAGGAGCGCAGGCGGCTGCAGGCAGACTTGCAGCTCTGCCTAGAAGAAATGCAGCTGCTCCAACTCCAGTCCCCTACCATCAAAATGAGCCTCGAGTCCTACAAGAAGAGTAATGACAGCATGCCAGCCCTCGATGAGAACTGTCACAAGAGTTATGATAGTACCACGGATGACACCGAGAGCTATCAGAAGAGTTATGGTAGCACCCTGACCAGCAATGAGAGCTTTCTCAAGAGCTATGAGAGTAACACCCACAACAGCGAGATCTCCAACAAGAGTCACCACAGCAGCAGCAGCAGCAGCGTCACCTACAAGAAGAGTTATGGCAGCACCAATAGCAGTGACATTGACAACGACACTGCTGAGCCAGAAGATCTAGAGGTAACGGTAGTCAGACAACAGGTCAGGCAGGCAAAGAAGGGCTCTTGTCTTTTTAAGAGATGTCACCCGGGGAAGGGCCCAAGAAGTAGGTAGGGAAAGGAGGCAGAAGCTGACCTGGGTAACTCACTGGAAATAAGTGAGGGGCCCTATAGCCCCTCTAATCTGGGGATGCTCCCATCTGGAAGGAGGCCTAAGATTCAGGACTTTTCATCAAGGTAGTCATGGTGTTCCTGATGGGAAGAAATGTTGATACTCCTCGTGGGCAGCTCCAGATCTTTGTGGCCATTGTTTCCTCTAGGAAAGGCCTGGCAGTGAGAGGGGGGGCAGCAGGCAGGTGCTCCTCCAGTGCCATCATTAGCCACCCCCCCCTCCACAGCACTTTGAGGAGATGGTTGCCCAGGTGTTGATCAAGCTGCAGGCAGTGCAGGCCATGTACCGGATCAGCCAGGAGGAGCACAACATCGTGCAGGAGGAGATGAAGAAGTTGCTGGAGAAGCAGAAGGAGCTGAAGGCAGAGCTGGATACCTGCGAAAAGGAATTCAAGGAGTGCATGGAATGCCTTGAGAAGCCTCCTACCTCCCAAAATGACAAGAATGAGGTAACTGCTATCAGGGAGGGTTTCTTCTAGGAATCCCTAGAGCCAAAGGAGGTCATAGCCCTTCATAGAGGAGGAAGAGGGCAGGAGCACATTGCCTGCCAGTCCCACCTGGGACCCTCCTTACCAGAGGGACTGAATCCCAGGAGGCCAGGCGGTCGGCTGCATTGCAGAATGCAGTCAGACAGAGCACCCACTCTGCTGAGACTTACTGGGCATCAAAACTCCTCTCTTGGAATAATTTTTCTCTTCTTCCCTTTGCCACTTCTGTTCACTCTTTTGCTTTGTGTCCCATAGCACTTCTATACTTCTGTATAGTTGGGTTTTTTCACCTGCCAGTTTTCTTCAGTTATGTTGTATGTTTGTAAGCACTGCAAGGGCGAGCCATGTCTTTTTTTTTTTTTTTTGGATCTCTCATAATGGCAAGAAGCGTATTCTGCCTATACTGGAGATGGGATAGAAGGCATAGTCTCTGGCCAGGAGTTGTTCCCAGTCCGGTGGGGCTGACTGTAGCATGTGGAGAGGTTCACGGAGCAATAAACACATGGATGTAGATAATTAATATCGGTGCCTGCTGAGGTCACGGTGTGCTGCCATCAGTCAAGACAGAAAGAACCAGAGATTGGGGAGCAGGGTTGTAACTGCTTTTGTCTCAGGGGGAGGTGCAGGGGCCAGGTCATGTGATCTCTAGTACTCTTAGGAGCGTACAACACAGTTCCTTAGGTAATTGTACCTGCCAGAGAACAGGATGGCTGAAGTAGGAATTCCCATAACAAAGAAGGATATAATAAGGCCCTTAGGTTGACAAGTGGCAGCCCTGTAGCTATTCCCTAGAAAAGTAAAAAACATGTCACTTTCTGTTTGTTAGATATAAATCGTCAGGTGCCTCAGGTTAGGGAGAAGCTAACTGTAAAACTGTTTCAGAGGCTCATTTTCCATGCGTTAATACTCTCTTTGTTGTCTGCTTTCCGTGGGCTGTAGCAGGGAGATGTCTGAGGCAGTGACACCAGGCAGGGCCCAGGCTGACAGGGATGGCCTGCTTCTGGGTAACCAGCCCTCCACCATCTACAGATCAAAGAGCTGCAGACCAAGCTGCGGGACCTGCAGCTGCAATACCAGGCTAGCATGGATGAGCAGGGGCGGCTCTTGGCTATTCAGGAGCAGTTGGAGGGGCAGCTGCAGTGCTGCCAGGAAGAGCTACACCAGCTCAAGGAGAAGAGGTCCTCTGTTTCCAAAGACACCAAAGGAAAGAATGGCAATAAGAATATGAACAAGAATGCCAACGGGGTTAAAAATAGAAAGCCGAGTCTGGAAAAGTGTGAGGGCAGCCTTGAGACCAGAAAAAAAGTGAGTATAACCTTGATAGCCAGATAAGCAGCAAGGTGGAGGAGGTCCTGGGAAGAAACATCATCTCCATCCATACAGAGGGGTTCTCCCAGGTGAGAAATTTGTAGAAAAGCCTAGCCTCTGGGGTCTCTAAAGCATCTAGAGAAGTCCATCTGAGTACATATAATCCCTTCCCTGTGGAACCACGGGGGAGTGGAATACAGACAACTGGAGGTACAACCCTGAACACCACAGCCCCAGGCTCAGTAACTGCTTCCATTTGTCCAGTCCCCTTTTCTGGGGCCCCTGTTCTTCCTGGGTTACGTGCCCAGTAGAAGAACCAAATATATGAAGAGCAAGGAATTTATTCAAAGTCGTTGTATACTAATATGTGAAACAGGATTGGGTAAAATGGGAGTTGCCGTGCAAGGGATGGGAAGCAACAGCTGAGGTGCAGAGCCAAGCATCTTTAGCTCTGGTAGCTGTTTGACATGGTTAATGACCAAATAGAGGTATTGGTCCAGAGACCCTAGGGGTGACTGTCCTCCACTCTATACTCAGGGAGATTGACTCAAGTCCCAGAATCCAGTGCTCCACCCTTGCACTATGGCAGGTAGGGGACTGGAGTTTTCTTGAGGTAGTACCACTTTGAAATGAGGGTAAGAATCTTCATAGGTAACAGCATCCCCATCCTCCCCCACCTCCACCCCACAGAGTCTGGAGGTGGTGCTATACTACAAGGCCAGCCAGAGAGAATTAGAAGAGCTAGCAAGAGAGCAAGAAAAAGAAGAGGAATGTAAGGAGGAAAAGAAAGAGGAAACAAGGAAAGAGTCCTGGCGTGAACTACCCTCTGAGCTCTCAGATATTATAGAAGTTGACTCAGCAGAAGATCTAGAAGAATATGAAGCGTTCCAAGACCTGGAGAATAAGGAAGACGAGGACAGTGATGACCCTTGCCCTGAAACTACAGAGGAAAACCCCCTCAAACTTTCTGAGAGCAAAAAGGTAACTGCATCCACAGGCTGGATCAAGTGGGAAATGGGCTCTGGGGCTCAGGTGCCCTGGTGTTCAGGGTGATGTGCCCACGGATGGACTCCTGCAGGAGTAGAGGGCAGGGAGCCCTGGCACGTGCTCTCAGAGACAGTGGAAATGGAGAGGAGGCTCGAGAGAGCAGTCTCTCCATGGCAGGCCTAGATCAATTTGCTGTGGAACCTTCTGGTAAAGCCACCTTTTCCAAAGTGGGGTCTTCGGAGTCCTATCTCCTTTCATTCACATGGTAACCCTGGCTACCTCGTTTATGTCACGAGGGTTTCCTCACCCCTCTTCTCAGCACTGTACTAAGGACATGGACTGAGTGAGGCTTTCAGGGCATTTCTGTCACCCTGAGCAAGTCACTCAGCCCTGCTTTCCTTTGGTGCCCTGTTAGGTTTAAACTTTTTTGCCATCATCGTTAGGGGTGTGGGGAGGGAGATAAAGCTCTTCCTCGTAGACTTGTATAGCCCACTGGGCATGAGGGAGACCTGGGGGTGGTCAGGTGAGAGAATATTTCACAGTCTACACACGGGCATTGACCAGTCCAAGGGGACCGCCATAACCCTAACCCTTTAGTTGCTGGATCTTTGCAACATTTGGTGGTGGGGTGGGGGAGGTGTCCTGGAGGATGTGCCAGAATGGTAGGGGTAATTTACCAATTGTACAGAAGTATTTTAACAACTGGCACATCTGTACAGGTACATAACAGCTCAATTCCTGCCCTGGCTGAAGTCACTGGGGTCTCCGATTCCGTAATGAGTTTGATTACTTCTCAAATAAGTCCTCAGGTTACAGTAAATGTTTTCTGTCTCTCTAAACACAGGGGAAGGAAAATAAATCCCTTGTGGTAGGATGACCCAGTCGTCCCTAAGGATATCTGGAGTTTTCCAGCAACTCAGTCTGCAGCACTGGCTGAGGGTCCAGCGTGCAGTCCTCTGTTAACCTTGTGGCAAGGGACCATTACTTAGGAAGTAAAAAGTTGGAGCAGCTGCAGCCCCTTCCCCACCGTTGTATTTCTTTGAACTCATCATATTTCACCATGTGCTGGTTCAGCGCCTTGTGGATTTACACCTCAGGTGCCACATTTCTAAAAGCCAGACATGATTTCTACTTCAAAGTAGAGTCCATCCCTGTGTCCCTTCGCCTCTGTGTCCTGGGTCCTCCCTCTTTTGCAGGCAGCTCCACTGACGTGTGTTAGCACCTGCAGCTCCCATTTCTCCTGTGGAGATTGTGCAGTCAGAGAACCAGCCCTTCTCCGTGCTTAGCTTGTGGTAGTGCATTTTGTCTCATCGTTCCAGCATTAGGCTCCTAAGGGATTGTAAGCACCAGAACTCAAAATACTCAGAGGCTTGAAGGAAAGCAGATCAGAGCAAGAGGCTTAACAAAGGGAGAAGTGGCCCAGCTGAAGACTGGCTCTCTCTAGAGTGATCCGGGAAAAGAACATGCCCTGCTCTTCTGTGAGAGCCCAGCTTTCCTCTCTGGAGCTTTGCTTGTCCACAGTCACTGACCTGCAGGAAAGGTCTAGGTGCAGATACTCCCTGCTTGACAAGATAGGAGACATAGGTGATGAGCCAGGAAACTGGACTCCCCACCTGGCTTGGACCTACGCTGCTCCTTAACCCATCAGTTTTGCATCTTCTGCAGGCTCCCAGTGAGAAGAACCAAGGCCCCAGGTAGCAGAAGAAAGACTGCTGCTCTAGCTTACTTGCTTTTTAATCTCTTGATTCCTTTCTCTTTCCCCTTTGTTTTATTATCTTCATTATCTGTTGAATTCATGTGTTTGTCTTTTTTACCATCACTCATCTCCTGGTTTCTCCTCGTGCTTCTTTCTCATTTGGTATGTTGCAGCCATCCCCTGCCCCCGACCCCCCCATTTTCTCCTTGCCTCTTGTAGGCCTGGTGGTCATATCGGCTTTGCTCTGGTGCTGGTGGGCTGAGACGTCGTCCTAACACAGGTACTGGTATTGCTTCTCTCCTTCTGAGGGACAGAGGGAGGGTACAGGTTGCCTTGGCCTCTCCCGTTTCCCTTTTCTCTCAGCTGCTTGCTTCTTGCTTTTGCCATTTTACAGCAGGTATAGCTCAGGTCTGACTTTTAGTCCTAGCTTTTCCTTGGGCACCTGGAAAGCCTGTAAAATCTCTGCACCTCTTTATAATACATAGGGAGTTGGGATGCTTACCAGACATGGTTTGAGTTTCTGTCCTGTGCTAGGAAAGCCTGGATGAGCCCAGCACTGTTGCTGCTTTCAAAGCTGCCTGACTTCTTCTGATGAGCTGGTGTTTGTCTGCAAGGCTGGCCTGCGCTCTGTTTGGCCCAGAGCCAAGCTCTCACTACTGTTGCTACCTAGGATGGCAAAATAAGGAATCACCCTCTCTCACTGGGTATGTCAAGTGTGCAGAGAAGAGGTCTGGAAAGCTGCAACCCTCCCAGGGTCATCTGTATGAGGGTGGCCTCAGTTCGTCCTTCAACCTTGATGAAAATGGAACTGAAGCCTCTCCCATACTGTGCGTTTTCTACTGAAATGTTCTCTAGTTTGGGACTTCCGGTCTTCAGAGAAAACATCAAGAATGGAAATATTTTATAGTTCCTTGTTTATCTATTTTGGAGATTAGATTCCATCCTAATTGGCTTCCCAGGCTCAGTTTTCTGGGGAGAATGCAGTATTGGTGAAAAGTTCTCACTAACCAGAGATGCAAGTGTTCTCAGGGACTCAAGACTGATACATATTCTGGGCACCTTCCAGTTGGCCTCTGTCCATGGAATCTGTTCTGTCAACAGGAGACTGAATTCAGGAGGCGAATGTGGCCTCATAGCCTAAGGTAGAAACCCAGGGTTCCACCTGCCTTCTGGAAACTATAAACTCTTCTCTCTTGGCTTATTTTGGCTCCTTTCTCATGCTCTCCCTGCCACCTCCCCCTGTTCTCATATCCTATAAATGAAGTAGAGTCAGCTGAACGCATGGGCTCAGAGTTGGCAGGTATGTCATGTGTTGGGGGCACTTCTCACTGATTCCTTTTCTCTCTCGCCTTACCTTCCCTACTTTTTTCTCTCTTCCAGCCCTTCTCCTTTCTTCTTTTTGTTAGGCGTTTCAGTCACTCCCCGTGGACAGTCTTTACTTCTTTAGTGATGGGGGTCTCCTTGTGCCTGCCCCACCCCAATGCGCTCTCAGATTGCTAAATCACTGTGGGATGGGACCCAAAGCATTTAGCCATAACTTCTCACCAACTGGAGCTCAGCCAGGCCCAGTCAACGTGAGAGAAGGGAACTCCTGGTTATGGGTCCCCTGTGGGAGCCCATTAGGCCCAGAGCTTTGGCCAAGGCCTGATCTATGCTTTCCCACCAGGAACTGAGGCAGCAGAGTATGGTAGAAAACTTGACTGACAAGTGGTCAGAAGAACTTGATTGAGTTCTGTCTGCTTCTTAGAGGCTTTGTCACAGTGAGCAAGATGTGTAATCTGAACTTTAGCTTCCTCAAATGTAAACAAAATGATAAAACCTCTGTGTTCCTCACAGGGCTTTTTTTGAGGATCAGATGAATTAGTGTATGTGAAAGTACCCCATAAGTAATCAAAGTAGCATACACTTACATAATGCAGGCTGTGTGCCAGGCACTGTTGTAAGCATTTTACATACATTAACTCATTGAATCCTTTCATCAACCCTACAGGGTAGCTATCATAATTATCATTTTACATAGGAGGAAACTAAGGCATAGAGAGGGTAAGTAATACAGCCAGGAAATCATGAATCAGACTATAAGGACTTGATATTAGCAGATGAAATTCTAATCCTGTCTCCCCTTATCCCTCCTTGTTTTAAGCAGTTTTCCTTGGTTAGGACCAAGTAATTAGGAAGACACTGTATTTCTGTCTGTGTAGCTCGGATTACGCTAGCTGCTTGGTAACAAATATCACATTGTTAACTTATTGTATGTCTTTATAAAACCGTTTTGCACGTGCACATACTAAGTGTCCTTTCTCCATTCTGTACCTGCAGTTGATTTTTTTTGATCCATAGGCAGAACTTTCCATTCATTTCCATTAAATCTCATTAGATACAGTCCATTGTTCTTACCTGTGAAGTTTTGTTTTTTTTTATCTTGACCCTGTGACTCAACATACTCACTTTCTCTGCCAGCTTCATATCATCCTCAGGGGTGACAAGTCCACCTTCCATATCTTCAGCCAAGTTACAGGTGAGGACCAAGCCCCATGGTGGTCCTCTAGAGTACTGGCTTTCCAGGTTCCTTTTATTCAGCTCATTGGTCATTAACAAATGCTTACCCTTATTTCCTCATAGTATCTGCAGGGATATCGTGGAAAATCTTGTCAAGCACCTTGACTGTTCAGAAACATTATTTTCTTGATTTACCATTTTAGTAACCCAGTCTACAAGGAAAGCCTGACGTGACTTACCCTTTGGAACACCCAAACCATCCCTTGACTCATCCAGTCTAGAATCTTGTCTCTGCCCAGTGTTAAGTACACTCATTCACATTTATGGATTTCAGCTCTTTCCTCCTGTAAGAACACCAGACTGGTATTTCTGTCAGTGCACATTAGGGTATAAGCATCTGAGCATGTAAATATTTCTAGCTCTCTTTTCAGTTATTTTTCTCACATGAATTACTGTGTCCACTAACAACATTGTTTTGCTTTCCATTTCACATCCTCTGAGTAAATTTCAGAGATTTTCTTTGCCTTTTAGAGTTGGCTTAAAATCCTCTTTTTAGATCAGTTATTTTCTGAGCAAATGTGTTCTTAGTATTAATGGGATATATTACATCCTTACCTAAAACCATCCTCATGCTACCTTGAGCCTTAGCTTATGACTGAAATCCAAATTTTGTCTTCAAATAATACAGTTAATCAATAGTAATAATAGGAACTATTTCCTCAAGTATGTTTTTTCTTGTTCAAGTTTTCATATTCCCTAAAGAATGCTTTTTGGGTATCTTCTGATGGTGTCATTTGTTGTCCCTGGAATTGGCAGGATTCTCCAGTGGTCAGCAGTGTCTAGAAGTATCCCTAGCACATGCTCCAAGAATTCAGTCAACACACCTGGTGACTGGCAGGTATTTTAATGACCCAGCTGTGTTCCTTCCCAGGGCCAGTAATGGGTTTCCTTGAATTTACTTGAACTAACATCATTCTTTGCTGCTTTTGCAAAAGGTTTGACTGCTTAAGGACCTCTTATTTACCTGAACTCCACGGTGAACTTTTTTCCCTGCTCTCTCAGTCTTATCCCTCTCCCTCCCACCATCCTGTTGATGCTGAGTTCATTTCTCCCCATAAAGCCAATGCTGCTGCTTTTCCCAAAGGCCTAAATTCACTGTCTTTTTTGCCATGGCATCCAACGCTTTCTCATTGCAACCATTTGGAGAATCTTTGAGGTCTGGCTCCTGAGCTTGCCTCCACACATAGGAACTGGTATTCTTCTCATCCCATAGGGAGAAATTGAGGCATGCATAAAGGCAGCCACCTGAAATGATACATATGGTGTTGTTCAGGTATCTAGGGTGCCAGGGCTAAGAGACCACATCATCTCCAACAGTTACCCAGGTGGTAAGAGAGACTGATACATGGTGTTCCTGAAGTGTCATTCTCCAGCACCAGTAGGCAGGTGATTTCTGGCTTTGGGAAGGGTTCAGAAGGCTGGGCACTCACAGTTTTCCTTTGGTCCCCACAGAACATGTTTGGGATGTGGAAGCCTGTGGTGTTCTTGGCTATTGCAGCTGTGGCTCTGTATTTGTTACCCAACATGCGACCACAGGAGACAGAGTTCTGCCTCATGGAGTGATGGCAGATCTGGGCCAGCCAAGGGGGCACATCCCCCGTGGCCACCACCCTCAGCTTTGTGCAGGACATTGTGCCAGAGCCCCACCCCACCCATATATCCCACGCATCCCCATTTCCTTAGCCTCGGTCACCTGGGCTGCAAAGGCTTGTGGAGAGCTTCTGACTCCCATCTCCTGCCTTGTATAAGAACCTGGGTTCCTTGTAATTAAATATAAACCTAATTACATGAGAGTTTGTGGCTTTTTATTTGCTCAGTGCCTCACGATGCAACCAAAACAGAGTGATTCCCCTTTAACCAAGTACCTCACGTGAGAATCTGGTTCCCTACATATGATTTCTCACACTACAAATGACCTCAGAAACGAGTTTGGCTGCCAGCTGAATTGCAGATGGATTGGTCCGTATTGACCCTATCTCAAGGAGCTCATCTGAGCATGAAGAAATGGAATGAACTGGGTATTTTGTGTCAGGGGGCCAAATGACCTCCCCTAGGGGTGCCTACATCTATGACTACTGTGAGAAAGACGTCCTAAGAAGATCTGTGGGTGGGGGAGCCTTTGTGGCTTAGTCCTTATGACTTCTCAAGAGATCCACTCAGAAATGACTCAGTCATTCAGGGTCCTGACAGTAAACGGGACACTCAAACGGTTTAACTGAAGAGCGTTTAATGAAGGGACAATGTACAGAGGGCAGGGTTAAGAGAACCAGCAGGGAGTAGTGAAGTACCCAGGCACTAGCAACAGTGGGGAGCTGTTACCAACCCAGGCCTGAAGGGAAGCAGGAGCTATAGGCCTGAAAAGGGGCCCGAGACAGGAATGGTGGCCACAGAAGAATGAAGCCCCTGCCAGAGCCCTCGTGAAGTGGGGAGTTATTTATTTCCCACCCTCCCTCTCCACCTGCCAGTTTCCTAGTGGTGCCACCCACTGACTGAGCCCAGCTGGGAGCTAGAGAGCAAAGGTGCCCGGGTTATGGAATCTCTAGAGGTCAGCCTCCTGGAGCTCAGAGCAGGGAAAGGATTGAATGGATCTAAGTGGGGACAAACAGAATGACTAGGATAGTTTATGAGTGCCCTTGCTTACCTTTATCCCTGTGGGCCCCTTTTGTGGTTGGTTCTCCTCATCATTAATATTTCCATATGAAAGACCCCAAGTGTATTCTTAAGCCACAGTGGACACAATGGCCCCCATGACTACCCATTTCCTTGGGAACCCTCTTTCTGTCTCCTTTATGCCTAATGCCAAAGGAATTTGTTTCATTCAACCAAATAACTGAAGCAACATGTGCTTACAGAGTGTGTACTGTGGTGGGCACTGCTAAGGACTCCATGAATTAATTTCTTCCCTAGCCCTTTCCTAGGGGACTTAGCAAGGACATTTAGGAGATTTTAAAATTGTATGCTGCTTGGAGGAGTGACAGGCTGAATTGGAGTCCATCCTGGAAGGCCTGGCCCAGTGCCGATATTGTGACCAGCTCCAGAGTCCTTGCCCTGTAAACATAGCTACAACTAGGAAAACTGAGGGCAGTGCCACCTGCCCCTTTTGCTCCCCCTCTAAATGACTCCTCTTTAAAGACCCTACATTAGGATGGTCTAGTCCCTTGCTACTCAAGGTGTGGTCCACGGACCAGCAGCCTCAGCATCACCTGAGAGCTTGTTAGAAAGGCAGAATCTCAGACCCCACTCAGATCTAGTGAAACAGAATCTGCATTTTGGCAAGATCCCCAGGTGATAAGCATGCACAATAAAGTTTGAGAAGCACTGTTTGAGTCAATTATGTTAGATTCTGTGTTCTCAGTTGTAAACTAAGAACTTCCTTCACAACCCACCTGGAGCCAGTGGCCACTTGCTTTTGAGTGCAGTAAGATGCTACTTTTTATCCACTTTAGCCACCAGTTGGCTGGAAAACACACCCTGTGAAAAGGACTGGATGATTATCTGTAGCTGAGAATCATATCTAGACTTGGAATTAGAAGGTAAGATGGAGGTCAGGATCTGGTAGGCAGATGGTCCCTTCCCAGGACCAAACCTAGAGCCTGGGTTTCTTAGTTATCTAGTGATGCTGTAACAGAAATACCACAAGTGGGTGGTTTTAGAAACAAATTTACTTTCTCACGGTTTTGGAGGCTAGAAGCCCAAATTCAGAGTACTGGCTCTAGGGGAAGGCTCTGTCTGTCCACTCTGAGGGAGAACCCTTGTTTCACCTTCCCTAGTCCCAGAGTTCTTCAGTTCCTTGGCCATCTCCACATGACATCTATCCCTACACTGGTATGGCCTCATCAGCATAACCAAGAAAGCCTTATTCCCAAATAGGGTTACATCCACAGGTATAGGGGTTAGGATTTACAACACATTTTGGGGTGACACAATTAAATCCATAACCTTCCACCCTTTGGTCCCCCAAAATTCATGTCCTTCCTACATGCAAAACTCATTCACTATCACATCATCACAAAAGTGTTATCCATTCGAGCACAACTCAAAGTCCAAAATCTAATCTTGTGAATCATCTAAATCTAAATCAAATAGGTATAGGTGAGACTCTGGGCATGTTCCATCCTGGGGCAAAATTCCTTCCCATCAGTGGCCTGTGAAACCTCAAATACAAGTTATCCACTTCCAAAGTACAATGGTGGAATAGGCATAAGGTAGACGTTTCCATCCCAAATGGGAGAAATTGGAGGGAAAGAAGGGTCAAGGCACCAAGCACGCCTAAAACTTGGCAGAGCAAATTTCATTAGCTTTTAAGGCTTGAAAATAATTCTCTGTTCTCCAGGACCATCTGGGTAACAGCCCCGCCCTCAGACTCTGGGTGTTGGCCTTGCTGTCTGGATTCTGGGTGGAGGCCACTTGGCCCTGGGCTTCAGCCTCTCCTTCCAGGCCCACTGGGATGGCAACCCAGCCCCTTTGACTTTGGGTAGCCCCATTTCCCTGATCCACCTGAGTGGTAACCCCAATCCCTTGGCCCTGGGTTGTTCTGCTGGCCCATGGACATTGTAGCCCCTTGCCCTCAACTTTCGGCAAAGGCCCCATCCTCTTGGCCCACCTGAATGGCAGCCCCACAGTCCAGAATCGCGATGGTGGAGATACAACTCTTTGAAACCTAGGATGCGGTTTTTCCACCCTTTGAAACAGAGGCAGCCCTGCCTGCCATAGTCCCTCCAACAGTTCTGCTGATCTCTGAATTGTTTCTGGGATGGTGCCCTCCTTTCCTTGGAGGACAACAGATGTTTGCAACCAAGCCACCTCACTGGCCCATTTCCTGCCTGTAGGATTCCAGGAGGCATGTTGCTTTCCTTCATGTTGTACTGTCTCTGTCCCTTTCAGTCTAAGCTGACAAGATTTCTGCTGTGGTGGTTTATTAGACCCATCAGTTGCAGGCTTAATCTCTTTAACAAAACATTGTGTAGCCAAACCCTTGATGGAAATTCCAGGACATGCGTCCTTAGTTTGCACAACAGGATTTTCCGTATCTTTAAGTTCCGGTTTCATTTCACACAGTTCATTTTTAAGTCCATCTATTTCCTCCCACATTTTACTGTAAGTGGCAGAGAAACCAGGCTGCTCCTTTATATCTTGCTTAGAAATGTCCTCAGCCAAATATCCAAGTTCATTACTTACAAGTTCTACCTTCCACTGAACATAATTCTGGCAAGTTCTTTGCCACCTTATAGAAATCATCACCCTTTCTCCATTGTCCAATAACCTTTTCATCATTTCCTTTAAAAGTTTCACTAGAAGTACATTTAACATCCATGATTCTAGCAACATCATGTTCATAGCGATTGAAACTGTCTCTACAGGGTTCTTCATTTCTTCTGAACCCTCATCAGAATTACTCTTAGTGTCCATAATTCTACCAACAGTTCCTTCAAGGCAATCTAGGCTCTTACTATGAAGCACCAAAATTCCTCCAGATTCTATCCATTACCCAATTGCAAAACCATTTCCACATTTTAGATATTTATTGGAGCAGTACTCCCACTTACCAGTACCAAATTCTGTTTTAGTTATCTAGTGCCGCCGTAATAGAAATACCACAAGTGGGTGGTTTAAAAGAACAAAAATTTATTTTCTCATGGGTTAGGAAGCCACAAGTCCGAGTTCAGGGCACCAGCTCTAGGGGAAGGTTCTCTCTCTGTCCACTTTGGAGGAAAATCCTCGTCTCAGCTTCTCTAGCCCCAGCGTTCTCTCATTCCTTGGCCATCTCCATGTGGCATCTATCTTGCCCTCATTCGTGCTAGCTTCTCTCTGTGTCTGATGTGCTTTTTTTATATCTCAAAAGTCATTAGGTTTAAGGCACACTCTACTCTGATATGGCCTCATTTAACATAACAAAGAAAAACCCTATTCCGAAATGGGATTACATCCATCGGTATCTGAGTTAGGATTCCAACACATATTTGAGGGAGGGGGACACAATTCAATCCATAACACAGAGTGTTGGCAGGAATGTGGCCCTGCCTTTCCCCACGTTTTTACTTAGAATACAGACCTCTTCTCTTTGGGACACTTGCCTTTATGTGAGTATAAGCCCCTCTCTGTTCATTTTAGAACTTCATCCTCTTCATTTGGCTTGAACTTTGCGCCTTCTGGTCTTGATGATACACATTTTGTTGAATGTGGAACATTCCCTTGAGCTAGTTTAAGAAAAAAGAGGCAGGATTGATTTTAAGTCTACGGGGGTGCCTCTTAGAAGCCATGGGCAGGCATGTAGCCAGCCCTACGTACAGATGGAACCAAGGACTCCAAACGCCTTCAAGAGCCCCCATTTCTCACCTCTGCTGCCCACTGCATAATTGCTTCCTCTCTCCTCTCTCACTGAAGACCAGCCCCCTCTGTTTCCCCGCCCCAGTGCACATGGTAGAGCACGCAGTCACTCCTGCCAAGGACCAGCTGCTTCTGAGGCCAGTGCATGGTTCTAGAGACCAGTAGTGCTGCCTGCTCTGACTCTGGCAGGTGGAGGGTTAGGACATATTCACTAGGGAAGGGAAGAGGCGAGCAGTGTGGAGATCTCAACAGTGGTCTCTACGGGGGGGTGTAGAGACAGAGCTGCGAGGAAGGGATTCACCATG